TTTCCCCCCCCCCCCCCTTTTGAACTGGAGAGAAGAGTTTCTTCAATTTCCAGAAAAGTGAATGCCTTGAAAAAAAATTCATCACTCATAAAAGCGGAACAAGTTGTATTAGAAAGAGGAAAAATAGCTTTACAGGACAATTCCCCTGTTTGGTTGCAGAGAAAACGGAGGAAAAAGGGTCAAAAAACATAGAATTTCATGACCCAAGGGAAAATATTAAGGCTCCTTATAAGAAAACAGAAATTACACAGGTCAATAGTATGGTCTGACCAATTCTCCCTGCTTTTGTTGTTTCTTGTGGTTTAATTAAATTTGACAGTCTCTTATCAATTGTTTGCTGGTGTTTTTTTTGCCCCACACACACTTGTAATAGGCAAATCTTGAGTCGTAAGAGGCACATTGTACAATGAAAACAAGGTGTTTGTGACAGTTATGGGGCATTTGAGTCTAGCAAGAAGGAAAATTATAAGAAGGAAGATTCAGGGGGTGGGAGAGAGGAATGTCAAGAAAATTATCCATTTTTGCATGCCAAGATAACAATAAAGGACATTTAATACCTTAACCATTCTCCAAAAGGAACTTGCAGTTGAATTTATCAAACAACAATCAATACACTAGGGTGTTCTAAGTGGAAATCACATTTTTTTTAATATAGATATAAGTTACTGTGACTAAAAGATTAAAATCTAAGTCGTAATTTAAACTTGTTTATATAATACTCCCTAATGATTTTGTATCCAACGATTCAAGAAAAGAGTACACACCTGTAGAGTAAACAAATAAGTACTTTTTACCTGTCTTTATTTTTTGTTATCCCGTTTGAAAACTACTGTTTTTAAACTGTATTGCGAGGAACTCTCATTATTATCAAGGTCAGTGAAGGCTTTTAGAAACCTAAAAAGTTGGTTTTTAGGTGAAAAATAGAATGAAATTTATTTTTATATCTCAAAATTGGCAGAAGTACCTCTTAATTGATAGTAGAAACTCCATTCAGCATATCTATGATATTGAAAACTAGTCATAACTCATGTCTAAAGATAAAACATAAAAGTTTAAAGTTTAAAAAATTGATCCCACTATGCCAAATAGTAATTTTTTATTTTTGCATTTCTTTAATTACACTATTTAAAATTAATTTTTACCTATTATTTTCTTTAAAATAACATTAAATTTTTTTCAAAATACACACCTGACAAAATTTTCTCAATATGTGTATACTATCGTATATAGATAATGTATGAAATAAAAGTTATGTTAAATTACAAATTAATCAAATATTAATTGATTGAACATGTAATAGAATTGAGTGATATGACATTTTTTGGGGGAGAAATATGTATAGAATAAATATTCAAGTTGTTAGATAATTTATTATATAGATATGCACTCTTGGATTGTTAATGATAGCATAGGTTTCAATCTAAATTCCAATCCGATTAAAAAGTTTTGATCCTAATCCGATTTGTTGACCCAAAAATTTTTATTTAGATTGTCAATATTCGATTCCGTTAAATAACTAAATTAAGTTGCATTTTAGTATATTATATGTATTTGTCAATATAATTTTATTAGGTGATCACTTAATTTTATCTTATATATATTTAAACATAAAAAAATAATTCGGATTGGACTATTATTAGATTAGATATTAGTATATCCAAGTCCATTAAATATGATGTAACGGATTCCGATTTAGATTTTCTGTAAAAAATATCATTTCATATCCGATTAATTGAATTTAAAATAAGTTTAGATTCAAATCGAAATAAAATAGGACTCAGGACCATTCTGGGCCAACTTTTAAATAAATAAAATAGAAAAAAGTTGGAACCCTAACCCTTAATGACACTGCTGCCAAATCCAAGTAAAACACTATTAGCTCCTAATCCATAAAACGGAAAAAAAAAAATTAAAAAGAAAAAAAAGGTAAACCAATCCTAGTAGGAGTGTAGAACCGCCTCTCTCCTCTCCACTTGCAACAGCCCACTATGATATATAGACGCCAAATTTTTCTCAAAAATGAAGAGTAGAAGAATGGGCAATCTCCCTATGAAAATCCTAGAGAAGCATGGTAGAGCTCTTGCTGATCATGATTATGGTCTACGGATCTGGATCCCTGTTGATATCATTTTTCACGATATACTTACAAGACTTCCTGTGAAATCTCTCTTGCGATTCCAGTGCGTTTGTAAATCATGGTGCTGTTTTTTATCACGTAACGACCCTTCTTTCATTGACCTCCATCTATCACGCTCCTGGTCTCGCCACGATGACACAAAACTTTTGATCTCTGCTCATGGGTCAAAGTTACGCCAATGTTTATTAATAGTAGACCTTGAGGGTGGGAAGTTCACTCAAGCCCTAACCGTGACCAATGAAGCAAACCTGTCCGACATCTCTGAGAACATTAATGGATTGGTCTGCTGGCAACATGTTGGTTTAACTTGTAGGATCGAGTCTACATATATTTGTAATCCCAGCACTCGTGAATTCATGAAACTTCCCAAAGTTCCCCAAATCAAAAGTGGTGGTTGCATAATCTCTGCACATGTCTCTAATCATTTTGGCTTTGTACCATCTTCGAAAGAATTCAAAGTGTTGAACATCCAAGCTACAGAAAGGGACTCGGAAACAGTTTTTTGGATTTTCACTTTAGGTGGTAATTCATGGCGACAGATTTATCCTGGATTGCCATTCACTATTGGCGTTGGTAAATTAGCTATGTGGTTGACTTACTCGAAAAAGTGTGTGTGCTTCAACGGTGCATTGCATTGGCTGCTTGGGGCAATGAAAGTTATAGTAGTTTTTGGTTTGAGAGATGAAAAGTTTCATCTAATTCTACTCCCTGTCAACTGTAGGTACGCTTGTGCAATCCCAAACCGGATTGTTCTACTTCATGGACATTTAGGTGTACTATTTAACATTTATGACAACTCGAATTTTAAATATAAAAGAACTGAGGTGTGGACATTGGAGGACTACCAGAACAAGATTTGGATGAAGGATAGCTTTACCATTTCATCTATATATTCTTGTAAGTTGTGGGCTGGTATTATTTGGCCTATACCTAAAGGCAAGATCTTGCGAATACTGAATTCATCATCCGAGGAGGACGCAGCAATGGACGAGCACCGGGTACTTTGGTATGATCCAGAGCAGAATAGTTTTCTGAAGGTCCAAATTCCTAAGTTGGATGAAGGGTGGCAGCTTGATATTCATGGTTCTGTTAGTTACACTGAAACCCTCCAGCCTCTTCTCTCTTTCAGCGCGAAACCCCCCGAGAAATTAGTTAATTAAATCACAGAATCAAAGGCCATGAGCAGATGTGAGATGCAGAGCACAGATTTCTGAGGTTGGAAAATCTCCAATTTAGTAGCAATGGACTTCTTTTTCTTGTTTACTAATTTTTGCTGTTTTGATTTTCTGAATCTGAATTTACTTGAGGCAATTATATCTACAAAGAGGACTTGTTAGGACAGAGCCGTAATTATGCCTTTCAATGACAGATTGATTGATAAAAGAATTAATCATGTTTAGTTTCATTCTGTTGGGGCTTGTTAGGACTTGTTAGGACTTGTAATTATGACTTGTTAGGACTTGTTGGGGCTTGAAATCTGCCACTGCTAAAGAATGTGCTTGTAGGCCTTGTAGAGATAAAAACTAGCAAAATCTGAACTACTGTATGTTCATCCTCTGTTTTTAAAGGCAATGCTCAGTCACATGTAGAGATGACAAATAACTGTGAATACCCACCCTAGGTTTTCAAGAGTTTGATAGTGACTGGCCCCCCTAGGACTTGGACAAATCTATTGACACGAAATTAACAAGTTAGGATCGACTAGTATTCGATACGATATAAAAATAAGACAACATACCCTTTAAATAATTTATCCAAAAAAAACCCATCTAATCATGTATTGTATGGATCCTTTTAGAATCATATGTAACTTAATGGTGCATTGCATTATCAACAGACCCAAATCAGATGTATTGCCAATACTATACAAATGCAAAAGGTATGATTATGAATTGGATTTGTGCTCCAGCATTTTTTAGTAAGTTAATGATAGTGTCTTGACTGCCGTCGAAAAATAGACTTATTCGCAAAATTTTTTCTAACGAAAAAAAAATTAGGCCATCAAAAAATCGAAAAAAAAAAAATTACAATTGGGACAAAATTTGATGATATAATAATTGTGATCTTTAGATTATCTATGGGTCAATTCAATAATCACGATGTATTAAGTTTCTATATTGTGTCCCCATAATATTAGTAAAAAAGAAATAGAAAAAAATAAAAAAGAAAAAAAAGGTAACCCTAGTAAAACCGCCTCTCTCTCTCTCTCTCTCCATCTGCTGCAGAACGTCTTATACATTAGTCACCTGTTCTTCTGCGTACATGAAAAGAAGAAGAATGGATGATATCTACATGATAATTCTAAATAAGCATCGTAGAGATCATGATACTGGCCCATGGATCCGACTCCATGAGGATTTCATCTTTTACGATATTCTTGCAAGACTTCCTGTTAAAGTTCTCTTGCAATTGCGGTGCGTTTGCAAAACATGGCGCCGCTTTTTATCATCCAACAACCCTTCCTTCATTGACCTCCAACTATCACGTTCCCAGTATGGGCTCGGTGGCATCAAACTCCTAGTCCCTGCCAGGCAATCGCAATGTTTGTTATTAGTAAACCTTGAGGAAGGTATGGATGGCAGGGTCACTCAACTTTTAACCATTCCTAAACAAAAATTCAATGATTTCAGCATCTCTGAAAACATAAAGGGTTTGGTCTGCTTCCACCACATTGTTGGCACTCGCACTAACAATATCAGCTGCACATATATTTGTAATCCTAGCACTCGTGAACTCATGGAACTTCCCCCAGCTCCCGATATCACGACCAACGATGACATGACCATGACCCGTATGCATATGTCTCACCATTTTGGCTTTGATCCATCTTCAAAACAATTCAAAGTGTTGAACATCCAATTTGCTTCTTTTAATTGCCTAGGGAGAAAATATGGAGTGGCCTTTTGGATTTTCACTTTAGGTGGTGATTCATGGCGACAGATTTATCCTATCTTGCCTTTTGATTTTAGATATAATGAACCAGCTCCCTGGCTGTTTTTGTTGAAAAATTGTGTGTGCCTTAATGGTGCATTGCATTGGTTGTTCAAGGCAATGAAAGTTATTGTGGTTTTTAATGTGAAGAAAGAGGAGTTTCATGCAATTCCGCTCCCTAAGATCAGCATGCTCCCTGATGCAGAACGGGTTGTTCTACTTCAAGTTGATGGACATTTGGTTGTATTATCTCTCCATGATGGTGTGTTGAATCATGACATGCTGGACATGGAGATATGGACATTGGAGGACTACCAAAACGAGGTTTGGAAGAAGGATACTGTTACCATCCCGTTTAAAGATTGGAGGAAGTGGCATGATCGTCCTGTTTTTGTTGTACCTGCAGACAAGGACTTGCAACTGGAAGATGGATCACAGAGCCACAGCCATTTAGGGGTACTTTGTTATGTTGCCAAGCAGAGGAGTATTATGACAGTCCAAATCCCTGAGTTGTCTAAATGGGGGATTAGTCATATTTCCAATTCCATTAGTTATAGTGAAACCATCCATAATCTTCTCTTTCACAGCACAACCAACAAATGAATAAATTCTCTTTTGAGCAGCAGTGGTGTTACTCTGTCAGACGATTATCTGCAGTTAAGTGGCAGTAGACCTCAATTTCTTCTTTTCTAGTTTTAGTTATTTGAATATGATGTAATGATTTTGCAGTTAAGTGGCAGTAGTGTTTTAAATTTGAATTTGTCGATTATGATGGAATGATTTTGCAGCAGAATCTTTTTTGTTTTCGCATGTTTACTCAGTGTGCTGATATTTTCCTGATTCAGAAGACCTTAAAGGCACATATGTCTTATTTTTTTCGGCATTGCAATGAGAAAATTTGCTGGAATGCCTCCATAAGTCCTCATCTTGTTAATGTTTTATAGTCTCCTTGTCAGTATTTTCTATTTCAATCTGAGCTTTAGAAGCACGATAAGGTCTCATGCACGGAATGTGAGCTGCTGTATCTTAATCCTTTGCTTTGAAATGCAATGGACAGTCAAAGAGTAGAGATGAAACAGAGAAGAATTTAGGAACTCTCTGAACTTTCTTTGTGACCTTGCAGCATATTCTATCAAAAACGCCGAGAAATAGGATTTACACGATAAACAATTCAATAACTGAAATTAAAGTCCACCAAAGAGATGCAGACCAAACAAGAAGAATTCTTTCATCTTAGCAAGCCAAGGCTTAATTCATTCCATATGTTCTGCCCCCAAAGTACAAGATTTTGAAAATAGGTGCATTTCCAAAACAAAATATTAAGTTCCAGTCAGACGACTCCCATACCTATCAGAGGATATAAGCACAGCACACATGCTGAAACTTCCCAGAGTAGAATTGGTTTTCACTCTCAAGATTGCCAAAATCTGCACTTCTCGATTATCAGCAACAAGTTCAATTACTTGGACCTTTGGAGACTAAACTTAACGTGACTTTTCATCATCTTTTAGTATGATCTTGAGACACGCCAGTGTCAGAGAGATATGACAACTACATAACTCTGCGAACCCTCAAGCAGAAAATCCGTAGACAGGCAACATTACAAGCATATATAGCCCATCTCATGGTCTCTAACTTCTCTGCAAAAACGTGTGCTGATAGTTTCCTGACTCAGAAGATCTTGAAGGCACATTTTTTTGGCCTTCTACTAAACTTCTGTGCTTCTTGCAAGTGATGTATTTCTTTGCTGGAATGCCTCCACAAAACCATATACTGTCAATATTTTATAGTCTCCTTGTCAATACTCTCTTTCAATTTGCACTTTAGAAGCACGATAACTTGCGAAATGTGAGCAATTTTATATATCTTAATGTTCAGATTTCAAAACTTAGACATTTTAACTTTAAATCTAAACAACATCTTGGGACTGAGATTTATCTTACATGAATATCCTAGTTCTGGCGTGAGACACCCTCTGACTGCTGAATCTAAGAAAAAACAAAAATTCCAATGCAGTCATTGGTAGAGATTCCAACTTTGAATACCTTAGGGCTTTCAAGTGTTGAAAGGGACTATGTGTAATATGAGAAAAAGAAGAGGAAAAGAAACAAAAAAAACTTAAAGGAGAGGACAGAGAAGAATTCAGGAACATAGTGCACTTTCTTTGTTACCTTCTTGCAGCATATTCTTATTTTCAAGAGAAGAAAACATTTAATTCTTTAGATGATGCCAATTGACAAATCAATAGCATCTCCGGATTTAATCACACACCAAAAACATGGAGAAATTGGAGTAACACAAAACAACACGACCAATACGGATCTCAGCTCTTGCTATAGTTAAGACAATTGTAGAAAGGTAAAAACAAGAAAGAGATTATTCTCTGCGAGCTTGTTTAATACCATAGAAAAAAAATCAAGTGATTAGGCGGGGATTGGATTCGAAACCCACGACTTTACTAAATCCACTAAAAAGGTTTTTAAGATTTAAGTGTTTTTTTATATAATATGTGTAAATGTGTTTTTTTTTTCTTTTCTAAGCAGAAAACTCTAAGTTTCGTGACTAACTCATCTCCTAAACTCCATCCAGTTAGGGAAATTGATCGAGTCGAGCTCAATTGTTGAGGTCAGCTCGATAGTAACAGCCTTGAATCAAGTCAAGTCTACTCAAGTCGAGGCACAAATCGTTTAGATTCAACCTATTTACAAGATGGGCTTTAGTGATCAAATATTGCTATTTTAACAAGTATAATCTGTCAAAACCAAGTCAAATCCAAACCAAACTCAAGCTTTGATTCAAGAATTAGTGTGTTCGAGTTCTAATGGTTAAACACCCCTATGTTGGATTTGGGTCATGCTAATTTGTCAGTCAAAAATTATCGTTCGATAGTTTGAAATATGAAAATTTGATGAATGATGGTGTTAACTCAAATAAAAAACCAAAACACTTATAACACACCTCAACAATCAGTCAATTATTTTGGTTGAAAAAAAAGTTTTCATTCCAAAAGGTAGATTTTGTGCACAATTTATGTGCTTTTTTTCCCCATTGGCCTAATTTATTAATTTTATTTATGAAACTAATCAATTACGTATCGCCATTGAATTGATAATGGATCTTGATATTATTTGGGATTCGTTACCAATTAAATTACAATAATTTATTAAACCAATAAATTAGGTATAAGGAATATTATTGTATTCATAAAGTTATTCGAAAGAAAAAAAAATCATATAAAACCCCCAAAAAAATAAAATAAAATAAAAAAGAAAAAGAAGGTACCCTTAATAGAAAAAAGGTTGCAACCCTAACTATTCACGACACTGTTGCCCAAATCAAAGTAAAACACTGCTAACACACCTCATAAATCGGTGATCTGACTTACTAAGAAAGGTATTAGAAAAAAAAAAAAAAACGAAGGTAAAACCAATCCAAGTAGAAGTGTATAGAACCGCACCATCTTGTACATAAGGCAATGTTTGCATACTGAGAAGCCAAAGAATGGACAATCTCTTTATGAAAACCCAAGAGAAGCATAGTCATGTCAATTCTGATCATGCTCATGCTCATGGTTTATGCATCCAACTCCCGGATGATATCATTTTTTCTGAACTGCCTGTGAAATTTCTCATGCGATTCCGGTGTGTTTCTCAATCCTGGTGTTTCTTTTTTACCCGCAATGACCCTTCTTGTGTTGACCTCCACCTGTCTCGGCTTGGTGGCACCAAACTCCTAATCTGTGCTAGGAACAGCCATTTGCAACGCCAATGTTTATTATTAGCCGACCTTGAGGGAGGTGGGATCGGTAGGATCACTCAATCCTTAACCATAACCTGTGAAATATACTATATCGGCATGTTCGAAAACATTAATGGTTTGGTCTGCTGGCACCATATTGGTGGTTTCATTGAGTGGATCATATGCACGTACATTTGTAATCCTAGTACTCGTGAAATCATGAAACTTCCCATAGCTCCGCCAATAACAAATACCACATATGTCTCATATCATTTTGGTTTTGATCCATATTCAAAGGGATTCAAACTGCTGAACATTCGAGTCTCATTAAACTATGCATGTTTTTGGATTCTCACCTTAGGTGATAACTCATGGCGACATATCTATCCTGCCTTGCCTTTCGATTTTGCTGATGGTGCACTTCCATGGTTGTTTCGGTTGAAAAACTGTGTGCCTCAACGGTGCATTGCATTGGTTGGTTGAGGCAATGAAAGTAATAGTGGTTTTTGATCTGAGAGACGAGGAGTTTCATGTAATTCAACTCCCTACTATGAACATTTTCCCTGATGCAGACATGGTTGTTCTACTTCAAGTTGATGGACATTTGATTCTAGTAACTCCCTGTGAGGAGATTTGGAGATTGGAGGACTACGAAAACAAAGTTTGGATGGAGGAAACTGTTACCAATTCCACCCCCTTTCAATATTGGTGTCTTTGGCGCGGTGGTAATGTTTTTGCTATGCCTGCAGGCAAGGACTTGCAAATGCTGTCTTCATTAGTGGAAAATGGATCACGGCACCACCGCCATTTAGAGGCACTGTACTATCATCCCGAGCAGAGAAGTCTTCTGAAAGTCCAAATTCCTGAGTTATCAGAAAGGGGATTCTCTTTTATTGATGGTGTCATGAGTCAAACCGAAAGCATCCAAAACCTTCTCTTTCAGCGAGCAATCAACAAATGATTAAGTTCTTAATGAGCAGCAGTGGTTTTCACAGGATCAAAGTGTCGGGGAGTTCCATCAAAAGGGTCCCAAGGAAAGGTGTGAACAGCCCACAGATTAGTGAGGTTGCCACACATGGTTATCTCTGCAGTTAAGCAGCATTAGATCTCTGTTTCTTCTTTTCTGATTTTAGTTATTTTAATGTCTGAATTTGACTCAAGGTAATTATTTCAACTTGGAGGACTCATGTGATGTGTTTATTGATGAAACTTGTTAAGTTCTGTTTTAAAGTCGATGATTCAGAAGATCTTGCAGGACATATGCTTTATTTTTTTTTAAGTCCTGCAGTGAGAATATTTCCTCGAATGCCTCTATAAATCAATATCTTATCGGTATGTTTAGTCTCCTTGTAACTATTTTCTTTCAGTTTGAGCCTTAGAAGCATGATAAGATCTCGCAAATGTGAACTACTGTATCTCAATTCTCAGTTTTGAATGCAATGCACGGTCAATGTTAGTGATGCCAAGTTACTGTGAATAACCATGGGCTTTCTAGTGTTCATAGGAATATATTATGAGCAATATCAAAAAAAACTAAATGTGATGGACGAATTTAAGAATATTGTGCGCTTATTCTTCCAGGTAAAGTTTGCATATTGATCTCATTTCTTCTCTTTTTTTTCCCAAGAATGAAAGAGTCTTTCAATGGTGCCAATTGACAGATCGATAGCACCACAGGGTCACAGACTGAAAACGTGGAGAAATAGGAGTAACACAAGAAACATTTCAAGAGATGTAATAAACGCGCCATTTTACCAAATCCACCAAAGTGGTGCAGAGCGAACAAGAAGAATTCTTTCATCTTAGCAAGCCAAGGTTTTTTTTATCTCAAGATTGCCAAAATCTACACTTACTGGATTTTCTGTAAAAGCGTAGAGCAACATGTTCAATTTCTTGCACCTTTGAGACTAAATTTTAAACAAGTTTTCATCATCTCCATCTCTTAGTACTTGATCTTGGGACACTCCAGTCTAGGAGAGATATGCCAGTTAACAGAACTCTGCATGCCCTTAAGTGAAAATTCCATAGACATGACCCTCCTTCGACGACCTGCATTCTTCCTGCTTGCAAAGCTCTAGCATTCACAGTGAATCAAGTTCTAAGAACACTTTGTGTAGGCCTACAAGTGAATTACTATCAGAAAATTTAAAAGAAACTGATTCACATGCACTAATGGAGATAGAGGTCCATCGCTGTAATGTATACTTGTGAAAACAAGGCACCAAAGATATGGTAACTCATTCAGTCAATATTACAACCATATATAGGCCCTGCCATGGTTTCTCACTACTCTGGCCTCAAGCCTACAACATAAAATATATATCTCAAATTCTGCATAAACTCCACTGATTCATGGTCACGTGATGATCCTGTTATTTCTCTTGGTTGTGAGATTAAAGTGTTTTTATCCCCAAGTGTTTTTTCTGTATTTTTTTATTTTTTTTGACAAAGTGAGGTGGTGTTTGCGATGACTTATAAAAATCATAGTTCTTTTTAAATTTCAAATGTGTGAAAGCGCGACCAAAAATACCATTATTGTAATACCACGTCATTTGATCGCTATTTTTTATCTCTTTTTTTGGTCAGTCTAGTACTGCTATTATTTATGAGTAATAGCATTACTCTTATCTTAACAATATTTTACTCTTAACATGAAAAGGAGAAGAATGGTTAGTCTCACTCTGAAAGCCCTAGAGAAGCACAATAAGCTAGTACAGTTCATGATCAGGGTTTATGGATCCATCTCCCTGATGATATCATCTTTTACGGTATACTTACACGACTTCCAGTGCAATCTCTCTTGCAATTCCGGTGCATGCGTTTGTAAATAATGGTGCCGCTTCTTCGTAGGCAACAACCCTTCCTTAATTGACCTCCACCTATTGCATTCCCAGTCTTGGCTCAATGGCACCAAACTTCTAATCTCTGCTCATGACACGGAGTTCCACAACCAGTATTTGGTCTTAGTAGACCTTGAGGGAGGTAGGGTCACTGAACCCTTAAGAGTGTCTAATGAGAGAGGTAAGGTTGCACAACTTCTATCCTCTATTTATGGCTTGGTATGCCGGCACCTGACCGGTTTTACAAATAAGAAGGTGTACACATATTTGTAATCCTAGCACTCAAGAACTTATGAAACTTCCCATGATTCCCAAAATCATAAATAGCGGTGTCATGATCCATTCATGTGTCTGGAGCAATTTTGGTTTTGATCCATGTTCAGAGGAATTCAAAGTTTTGAGCTGCCAAGTTCCAAGAAATAACAATGCAGTAAGGTTTTGAATTTTCACTTTAGGTGGTAATTCATGGTGACGGATTTATCCTGCCTTGCCTTTTGAATTTAGTAAACATGAAATTCCTTGGTTGATTTGGTTGCGAGACTGTGTGTGCCTGAATGGTGCATTGCATTGGCTGCTTGCGTACTTAAAAGTTATACTTGTTTTCAATCTGAGGGACGAGAAGTTTCATGTAATTCCACTCCCAAATACCATTCTGCATCCAGCTGGAACCCAATTGAACTGCTTCAAGTTGATGGACATCTGGTTGTATTATCTCTTAGTCATGGTGTCTCAAATTATGACATAATGGAGATGGATGTGTGGACGTTGGAGGACTACCAAAATGAGGTTTGGTTCAAGGATACATTTAGCGTTCCATATTGGTGGCAGTGGTACCATTTGTGTTATACCTACGGGACAGATCTTTCGAATAGCAACTTCATTAATTGAAGATAAATCATCTAATAACATGTCCGATTTAGGGGTACTTTGTTACGATGCAAAGCACAAAGATTTTCTGAGGCTCAAAATCCATGAATTATCTAAAAAGTGGTTTCCTCAATTTGGTTCTGCCATTAGTTATACTGAAAGCATGCAGCATAGTCTCTTTAAGCACACAATCAACACAAGTTTAATTTTTCTTTGAGCGGACATGAAGGAGAGATCCAGACCTCTTGTTTTCTTCTTTTCTAATCGTAGTTATTCGAATGCCTGATTTGATTCAAGGTTATTATTTCTACTTAGGTTACTCATATGACATCATGTGATTTTTTTTTTTTTTGTTAATGCTTGTTAAGAGTGCTTTAAAATTATATTCCCTGATTCAGAAGATCTTGAAACGACATGTCTTGTTTCATTTGGCTTTACTGTTGTAAAGATATGTGGAGGTCATCCTGCCTTGCTGTAATTGTTGCGTATCTAGTTGAAATGTTTAGTCTCCTTATCAATCTCGCAAACTCTGAACATGCGCAAGGTTTGTCAGAAAAAAAAAATTAGAAAAAGAAACTAAAAATTAAAGGTGATGGGGAAGAATGTAAGAACATTGGACACTTTCTTTGTTACCTTCTTGCAGCATATGCTTTCGAGGTAAGATATGCATATTGATCTTACTTCTTCTCTTCTCTCAAGAGTACGAAGACATAAGTCATGATACACAAGTTCTATTTTCAATTTTTAGCCATTGGAAGTATTGACAGATAAATAGCGCCTTCGGGTTAGGGAACCGACCTATCATTTATCATTTTTTTGAAAGGATGTATTGACAGACAACAATGTATCACTATATGAAAATTTTTGAATGGATTATGGGTGATCCAATGCCCTAATGGAGACACAGTGCTTTGCCATAACTCATACTTGTAAAAACCCTGCATCAGACAAATGGTAACTCATTCAGCCAACATTAAAACCATATATAGCCCATCTCATGGTCTCTTACTACTCTGGCCTCAACCCTACAACCTAAAATCTATACCTCAATGTAATTGTAAACTCACTGATTCATGATAATGTGATGATCCTGCTATTTCTCTGGGCTGTGAGATTAAAGCGTTTTTATCTGAAGAAGGTATGAGTGTTTTTTTGGGTAAGTCGATGTATTCGTTCCTCTTGTAAAATTTACTATTACCACAAGTGGCTAAAACAAAAATTTCCATTTGATTTACAACATCAAGCACCAAAAAGAACATTAAGAACACTAAACTGGAAGGATTACTGGTGCATTAACAGAATTTATAACTGTTTAATATCTAACAAAATAAGTATGATCGAATCCCACATTTCTTAAACTTAAAAACATAGGCACAAGTGCATAGAACTCATATTGCTGACTAATTGGAAGTGGTATCTAGCTTCCACTCCTAGAGAACAAGATCAGTCTGGGGGATCTCTTGCATTATATGTAACCCGTGCCTTCAGGCACGGTGCAATTTAAATCGGTTAATTTGAAGAAGTGAGAAGTGAAGATCCCACGGAGAGAGTGAAAGTGAAAAAAGGATGGTAAAATTTAATGTGACTAGTTTTGAGAGGCATGTTGGTAGCTGTTTGATAAGTCTATTTGAGACTGTCGAATGAGCTTATTGAAGTTGAGATACAAAAATGAGAAATAAAATGCACCATTTTTTTAAATTTAAACAAAAAAAAAAACCGCACCATATTAGTTTTGACATCAAATTGCTAACAGTTTCAAATTTTCAATTTGAGCCAAAACCATAGGGAGTTCTGTCTAGATTGTTAAAGAAGAGGGAGAAAACATGATATTGACAAAATGCTAATCTGTAATTCACTCAAAATAATGTAAAACCTATTACAAATGCTAACTAGTACTCTTCTTCACTTTCATAGTGTTGGCATAACGATTGTAATCCATTGCTTGTAATATTTGTCGCATTATGTTCTTCCTCTTGTCTGCTCTCCTCTTTTGTTGGTGGTTTTTTGATACCAGAAACTCTAAATTTACTGCTGCTAGAAGCTCCAGGACTCATTGGATCTCCTTTGATGCTATCATTTGTCCTTTTCTTTGAATTATTGCTTGATATTTCCCCATTGCCTGTAGGAAACAGAGTTAAATCCTCATAATCATCACTAAAATATTTATCTTGAATCCTTTGGAGTCTTCTTCCAACTCCCTTTCCCTTTCCTTTTCCTTTTCCTTTTCCTTTTCCTTTTCCTTTTCCTTTTCCTTTTCCTTTTCCTTTTCCTCCTGGAGGAGCTGATCAAGCATTGAATCTACACTCACAATTGCATGTCTGGATTTCATGGACTTCAATTCGTCCAGTGCAGCAAAGATGCCCATTTCTCTTTTTGAGTCCAAGGTTCTATTCTCCAAACACTTCATCGCATCTCCCATCTCTTCGGCATCCCTTTTGCGTTTCTTATTCCCTACTTGTTCATCCAGTTTCAAATTCCGCATTGCACCAAACTCAACAACACAGTCTGAATTTTGCAAATCTGTCTTCATTATAATCTCCGATGACCACTTGGTACACCTAAAATAGAATCAGAATATTTGGATTCCCCAATATGTCTCATCAATAACGTCTTCTTTGCACGAATTAAACTTGGTCCCTGTAGATGTAATTGCCACAGGTGTTGCATTGAATGCTCATTGGAAGCATCATTCGAACCTTAATCTGCTGGTTTTTATGTTGTTTTCGCCTCAGTATTTTCATCGGATCAAAATCCGTCGGGTAGTCCTTGTTCAACACCTTCCTCTCTCCCATGTCTTTTTAACAATAAACAATCAAATTAACGATTTCAAACTAATATGAAAAAAAGGCTTCAAATAAATAAAATGGAACAAAAAAAAAAAAAATAGAACACACAAAATTTCCATGGTTCAATTCACTGTCAAAATGTTCTCAGATAACAAAAACAAGAAACTTATCACCACTCTATCTCAATATAAAAAAAATTTGATCAAAAAATAACATAAAATATATATATATATATATAAAGAAATCACCAAAGATAGATCCATGTTGACGTCGAACTGTTCTTTTATCTGGAGAAAGCAATTCTCTTATATGCAGCAAAGTGATCACCAAAATCCAAGTCCATGTGGGAAAAAAATAACCTTAATTTCTCCAATTGTTGTCAAACCAATATTCAACAAAAGTCCAAATCAATAAAGTATTGGAAAATTCTTATCCAAGCAAAAGACGTACCCACACACCATGTATTTAAACTATCAATTAGATACTATCCACCACAAATACATATGGCGAGAATCCTTTGGTCAATGGATGCCACACGAAATTCTCCAAAAAGAAAATTCAATTAAACTTGTGATGCAAGTCATTAATAACACAAACAAACAAATAAGATTCACGATGTTTTAGTTGAGCGTGATTAATATCGTTCTATTTTTGGAATATTTGAAGATTTTAATTTATTTCTTAATTTGATTAAGAAACTACTTTATTTAAGGTTTTAGTTTAGTTAAGATTTAATTTTAGGATAAATTATGCTTACAACCCTAATCTATCACTCATTTTCACTTTGTACTCTAAACTACCAAATTTTTCATATTGCACCCTAAACTAATACTTTTTTCACATTATCTCAATCGCAAACATCTTTTATCTGTTTGGACAAAAATTGGTAACGTGTTGAGCTAAAGTGAAAAAAAATACACAATTTGGGAGACAAAATGAAATAAATTTCAATTAAATATGTAACGAACGTTGATAAGTGGGGCAACATGAAACTAATGACATATTTAAGGGTATAATGTGAGAAATTTGATAGTTGAGGGGGAAAAGTGAAAATGGGTGATAGTTTAGGGGTGTAAGTATAATTTACCCTTAATTTTATTTTGCTTTCAAATTTAGTTAAGATTGTAGTTTTCTAGTATGATTAGTACGATCCAGCACTATAAACTACCAACTGTGTAACCTATTGGAGAAGTCTTTTGAGAAAAACTGCCATAAGAAAGCCATAAAAACCAAAAAAAAAAAAACTGAATAAAATAGAAAATAAAAAGAAGGTACAATCCAAATTGGAGTGTGGAACCGCCTCTCTTCTCTCCACTTGTAGCTGGACACTACCTTATATACCCAGCAATTTTCTATCTTATATATACCCAGCAATTTGTTTTTCTTGTGAACATGAAGAGGAGAATAATGTTTAGTCTCACTCTGAAAGCCCTAGAGAAGCAAATTAGGGCCACCGGCTACCCGATGATATCATCTTTTACGACATACTTGTAAGACTTTCTGTGCAATCTCTCTTGCGATTTCGGTGCGTTTGTAAATCCTGGTGCTGCTTTTTATTGCACAGTAACCCTTCCTTGATTGACCTCCATCCATCACGTTCCCAGTCTTAGCATGGTGCTACCAAACTTCTAGTATTAGTAGACCTTGAGGGAGGTAGCATGGTTCGATCTTTAAGGGTGCCCAATGAGACAGGTATGTTTGCTCAGGTTGTATTCTGTGGACACATTAATGGCTTGGTCTGTTGGCACCAGTCTTGTTTCAAAAACACATGCACATATATTTGTAATCCTAGTACTCGAGAACTCAAGGAACTTCCCAAAACTCCCCTACTCACGAATGGCGGTGGCATGATCTCTTCGAATGTCTCAAGTTATTTTGGCTTTGATCCATCTTCAAGGGAATTCAAAGTGTTGAACATCCAAACCCAAGTTCCAAGAAGAAAGTATGGTGTAGGTTTTTGGATTTTCACTTTTAGGTGGTAACTCATGGCGACGGATTCATCCTGCATTGCCTAGTAATTTTACTGATCATGAATTTTGTCTGATCATTATGTTGAGACAATGTGAGTGCCTCAATGGTGCATTGCATTGGTTGCTTGCGGAGAGGACAGTGATAGTGGTTTTCGATCTGAGAGATGAGAAGTTTCGTGTCATTCCACTCCCAAACACCATTATATACCCATATACACTGCTTCAAGTTGATGGACGCCTGGTTGTATTATGTCTCTGCCCTCTGGTTTGGAAATATACCATGGACGTGTGGATTTTGGAGGACTACAAAAACGAGGTTTGGATCAAGGATACTTTTAGCATTCAAAATACAAATGTGTGCAACTGGCACTATGGTACTATTTGTGTTATACCTACACACAACATCTTTCGAATACCAACTGCATTATTGGAAGATAAATCATCGGGCTTCAATGTCTTTTTACTATGTTATGATGCAAAGAACAAAAGTTTTGTGATGGTAAAAGTCCCTGTATTGTCTAAAAGGTGGTATCATAATTCTAGTTCTGTCATTAGTTATACCGAAAGCATGCAGCATCTTAGTCTCTTTGAGCACACAACCAACTGAAGAACATGTAGAGGAGGTTAGTTACTGACAGAATGAAAGGTGTGATGCAGACCTCTTTTTTCTTCTTTTCCAATTTTGTTTATTTCAATGTCTGAATTCGATTCGAGCTAAATTATTATTAGTTAAAGGGCTTTATTTCATTCTTTGTTTTGAGCATAATCGAGTTAGTTGACTACGCTACAGCATAAACTTACTATATTTCCCCTCTGCTCTCAATATTCTAGCAGTTTCTTGATTCAGAAGATCTTAAAGGCATGTGTCATTTTTCTTTGGCTTTGCTGTCGAAAAAATTTGTTGGAGGTCATCTAGGCTTGCAGTGAGAAGATTTTCTGGAATGCCTCGATATGTTGTCCATATAAAACAGTCTCCCAATCAATTTCAGCGTTATAACCATGATAAGATCTTGCAAAATCTGAATTACTAAATCTCAATCATCTGATTTTTATATATGCAATGCAAAGTCAGATGTATATCTGCCAAATAACTTTGAATACCTTAACTTCAAGTGTTCATAGGGACTAGACTCTGTGCAAGAGATATATCAGAAACACATAAAGAAAGAAAAACAAACATACAAAATTGAGAAGTGTTTAGATCGAATACTAGTGGTCATGACCTCAGGCCTGATGGAGATTGCTTTTGGACAAACACAATAAGAATTCAACCTGTGGCAATCACAATATATGTCTTTTGGCCTTTCTGAACATCCAGGAAAGACCCTTTGAATATTGACAGAAACAGTCACTTTGTTTAGCTGCCTCGTACAAATTTATTGTAGTAGCTGATATGGAGGATCAGTGGTTGGCCTAATGGCTGCCGCACCCCCCGTTGGACCGTTAGGTCGTGGGTCCGAACCTTACTGCCCCCTCCCCAGTAAGTTTACATTAGTGACCCAAAAAAAAAAAGGATAATATGCTCTGGAGTAAACTTCCTTGATGCTTTCAAATGATTAAATCAATTTAGTCAACACAAAGAAGCTGTCAGCATGTGGCACCAACAATTCCTCAGCCTGATGAAACATCCAGGAAAGTAAGTACCTATGAATATCCTTTGAAACAGTTTTTTTTATTTATTTTGCCATGCACATAAAGATGAAGGAAAGGTCCGAGTGAAAACTAGGCTGGTTTAAGAAACAAAAACTCGTGCAGATATATTTGTAATCCTAGCACTCGAGAACTCATGAAACTTCCCATGACTCCCCAAATCACGAATGGCGGTAACATGATCTCTTCATTTTTATCAAGTAATTTTGCCTTTGATCCATCTTCAAAGGAATCGAAACTGCTGAACATCGAAGTTCCAAAAAGAAATTATGGTGTAGAGTTTTGGATTTTCACTTTAGGTGGTAACTCATGGCAACGGATTCATCCTGCATTGCCTTATGGTTTTACTGATCGTGAATTTCGTCTGCTGGCCATGTTGGGACAATGTGAGTGCCTCAATGGTGCATTGCATTGGCTGCTTGTGCTTGCAGACAGGAAAGTGATAGTGGTCTTCAATCTGAGAGATGGGAAGTTTCATGTAATTCCACTCGCGAACACCATTATATACCTGAATATAATTCGAATTCATCTCTGCTTCAAGTTGATAGACGCCTACTTGTATTATCTCTCTGCCCTTCAGTTTTGAATTGTAACATTGATGTGTGGACGTTGGAGGACAAAAAAAACGAGGTTTGGATCAAGGATACTGTGCGTGCAAGATCCTGCACAATATAAAAAACGAGAACAGATCTCTCCCTTGGTAAACTCGAGTGAGCCAGTTGAGTGACCAACCACGCTGCTTGGAACAGCCTGCGAGGTCCGGTGGTAACCTAGAACGGCAAAGGGAGACCCTGGGGGAGCGGAAGAACGATCCAGTAAGGCTGAAAGAGGTTCCTGGAACAAAGAAGAACAAGTTAGAAGGGCGCCGGAGTGTTTTCCGGCGTATCCCCTCCGACGATCTAGTCAGTCTTTGAGAAAGAGAGAGGAAGGAGAAAACACTGATTGTGTATTGTAGTAAAGAGTTTTTTGTTTCATACCCGTCTTGCCTTTTGCAAAGGGTATTTATACCTCAAAAGCTCATGATTGCTGTCAGTGTAGTCAGTAGGTGATTATTAGGTACAGGCAGTGTACGCACTGATTCTGATGAGGAATGTCTTCACTTCTTAACTGCTCGGGGTCCCGAGCAATCAATGCTGGGTCATCGGGATGCCGACGGTACAATGTACTCCTCTCGGGGAGGATGCAATAAATGCTCTGTATTAGGAGCATTTATTGCCTTTCATTTCCGAGCCTTACCGCATTGAATGCGGTCTCATCAAGGGAATGGTGTAATTAATCGTTTGCTTTCCCAAGTCGCGTGTCAGCAACGGCATGCGGTTTCTCTGNATCGCATTGAATGCGGTCTCATCAAGAAAATGGTGTAATTAATCGTTTGCTTTCCCAAGT